TGCGGCATGATCTGACGAGGAGCCGCGCGACGTCCACGCCGCGGTGCTCGACAGCGACTTGGCTCCCCCGCGCGAGGACCCCCTCCCACCCCTGGGTCCAGGAGTGCCCAGAGGCCCCTCCACGAGGGACAATGGGAGGGGAACGTCCCGCGCTGCGGGACGCACGCTGGGGCAGGCAGACGCGCTGGACAGGCGCGGCAGGCTCCACCAGAGGCGTAGTGAAGCTGAGCGACGAGCTGATAGGAGCCAGGAGGCTGCAGCCGCCGCACCACGCTCCTCGCCGCGACCGCCCAAGCCCAAGCTGAGCGAGCAGGAGACCGAGGCGAGGGCGACGCGGCTGCTGGAAGCGGCGGCGACGCCGAGAGGACTGGCCAGGCAGTGCCAGCCGAGGGAGCCCGACCTAGAGCTCAAGCAGTGCGAGGCAGTCGCCAGCCAGAGGAGACGTGAAGAAGCCAGGAGGGCCCTGGAGGCCGCAAGAGAGAGAGAGAGAGAGAGAGGTCCAGCCCATCAGCCACGACGGCCAGGAGGAGCAGTCCGCCCAAGACCAAGGTGCTGCCGCTGGCGACGCTGAGGCAGCTCCTGGCGGGCTCCACGCCGCCGCCCCGGCCGCCAGTGGGGGCGCGGAGACCCGCGCGGCGGCTCGCCCCGCCTGGAGCGCCCGCAGGCGAGCGGCAGGCCGAGGGGCCGCCGTGCGGGAGGCACGCCTCGCCCGCTGGAGGAGGGCCCTGCTGCGGGCGGGCACAGCGGGCGCCGTTGGCTCGGCCCGACGCGCCCCCAGGCACGGGGCCAGGCCGCCCGCGGGCCGCCGACGCCGACGCCGCCGCCTCGAAGACGCGGAATGTCCAGGGAATGTCTCCTCCTCCTCCTCCTCCTCCTCCTCCTCCTCCTCCTCCTCCTCCTCCTCCTCCTCCTCCTCCTCCTCTCCTCTCCCCTTTCTGTCTTGCCTGCGTCCCCTCCCCCCTCCTCCTCCTCCTCCTCCTCCTCCTCCTCCTCCTCCTCCTCCCTCCTCCTCCTCCTCCTCCTCCTCCTCCTCCTCCCCTCCTCTTCCTCCTCATCCTCCTCCTCCTCCTCTCCCCTTTCTGTCTTGCCTGCTCCCCCTCCTCCCCCCGTCCCTGGTGGTATTCGGGCCTCGGCTCCTCTCTTGGTCGTTGTCCCTCCGCCGCAGTCTTGCCCTGGCCGTCGCTTCGCTCGTCTTGTCGGGCCCTCGCTTGGTCCCCTTTGTCCTGTTGCTTATGCAAAATAGCGCTTCACGTCCAAGTCTGCATCCTTGGGGGATCTTCCGCCCAAAGATGCCACATATCTCAAGGCCCTGGAGGCTGGTGAGGACTCCCTCCCAGGTGAGTGGCCGGTGTACTCCCCGTTATTTTTTGGGCCCACGATTTGGCATGTTTCTGGTTTCATCTTCGGGAGGTTTCCTGTGTTCGTTGCTGCTTCGCTCGTCGAACCAGGCTTGCTCTTCTCCTCTTTCGATTACCTCTCCCCTTCCGATCTTTCCTCGGTTCGTTCCGACGCGTAGGTGCATCCTCTTCCTGATCCGTCTCCTCCCTCTCGTCCTCCCTCTCTCTTGAGCCCTCCTCCTCTCTATCCCCGTCATCCGTCACATCTTCTCCTTCTCTTCCTTGTGTCCGACCCTGCTGCTCTTCGTCCTCCTCATCCTTGTCTCATCCTCGTCCTCCTTTTTCGTCTTCATTCCCCTGGCGTCCTGCCGCATCCCGCGCGCAGGCCTGAGAACTTCCTCTTCCAGACGAAGGTCGGCCCCTCTGCCGCGCCCCGGGTCGGGGAGGAGGGGGGTGAAAGAGGGCAATGGAGAGCCCCGCTGTGAGTAGGGGGGGAAGGGATGAGGAGAGAAAGGAGGGAGCAGCAGAAGGTCGGTTATGTATATATATATATATATATCATATATATATATATATATATATATGTATCTGCAAGGTGCTTTCATAGTCACCGAACGCTACGTAAGTACAAGCATACTTTGAAGTTTGCCGTACGCAAAAGGGCAGGAGGAAGAGGAGGGATGGGGGGATGGATGGGGCGCGGTGCGAAGAGGATCCTGGGGAGCGGGAGGCGCAGGAAGCGGAGACAGGAGCGAGTCTGGAGGAGGCAGCAGGAGGAGACAGGACCGATGCGGCGGCGGCGGGTTCATCAGGAACACGAGTCAAGGTTCGGCAAAGTTGACAGCAAAAGGAAGCTCGAGTTCCTCGAGTGCGCATACATGCGGTGCGTAGCACGTGGAGGGGTTCTGGCGCTCCTCGGCCTACAGAACGGACAGATCCCTGTGGGAAGCAGTTGCTGAGATTTCACAGAGCTTCTGGGCTACCAGAGGCAGGCAAACGCGGGGGAGTTGAATGATCAAAGCAGGCAGCACACGAGGAGGACGGGGAGAAGGAGGAGGGGGAGAAGGAGGGGGAGGAGGAGGAGGAGGAGGGGGAGAGGAGGGAGGGGAGGGGGAGGAGGAGGGAGGAGGAGGAATTGCTGCTGGACTGTCGGTCGCTCGGCGATCCGAGCGCGGTCGGTTCTGACGCCGTGGATGTCCAGCGCACGAGCACGCCGGACGTCGACGGCTCCCGCGCCGCGGCCGGCGCGTGAGCAGGGAGGGCGTCATGCTCCTGATGGTAGTCGTTCTCCTGATCGCCATCGTCACGCCATCCTCAGTGGCCTCCTCCTCTATCTCCTCCTCTTCGTCCTCCTCCTCCTCCTCCTCCTCCTCCTCCTTTGTTTCTCGTTGCGCTGACTTTGCCCGGTGGAGGCGCAGCGCTCTCCTCTTCCTCCTCCTCCTCCTCCTCCTCTTTGTTCTCCTCTTCCTCCTCCTCCTCCGCCTCCTCCTCCTCCTCCTCCGCCTCCTCCTCCTCCTCCTCCGCCTCCTCCTCCTCCTCCTCCTCCCTCTCCTCATCATCCACCTCTCTGTCCTCCTCTGAGACTGGCCGCCGCAGGGTACTGTCCCTCGTCGATCTCTTCTTCCTCCTCGCCCTCCTCCTTCCCTTCCTCCTCCTATTCCTCCTCTTCGTCGGTTCTGTCTGTGTCCCCGTCCTCCTCATCATCACCATTACTTCCTCCCTCCCTTCCTGCACACACCCATCCTCCCCCTCCTCCTTCACTTTCTTGCCCCGTCCCCCTTCTCCGTCATCGCCCCTCCCCTCTGGTCTCTCTCTGGCTCTGCCTCCTGCTGTTCCTGACCCTACCCGCTTCCCCCTCATTCCCCCAGGTAGGAAGGATTAGGGGGCAAAGAAGAAGGAGGAAGAAAGGGTGAACCTCTCTCTCCTCATTATCCCCCCCTCCTCCTGCCCCGTCCTAATCTTTCTGTTCTCGCTCCCCTTTCCCCTTGTCCCCTACTCATCCTCACCCTATTTGTCATCCCTGCTCATCCCGAGGACGCTGAGTACGACGACCTTAATATTCCAGGCGCTGGCGACGACGACGACGACGACGACGACGACGACGACGACGACGACGACGACGACGACGACGACGACGACGACGACTGCGTCGTCGACGACGACGACGACGACGACGACCAGGACGACAACAAAATCGGCGGCGACGACGACGACGACGACGACGACGACCAGGACGATATCCCCGACGACGACGACCACGACAACGACCACGACCACGACCACGACCCTGACCTCGACCACGACGACGACGACGACCACGACGAGGCGCTGCGCCGGCAGCAGGAGCCCATCCGCGAGAGCACCCTCAAGGTCATCGACTTCGGGCTCTCGAGGCGGCCACCGCCGGCATCCCCCCGGGGGGGGTAGGAGGAGGAGGAGGAGGAGGAGGAGGAGGAGGAGGAGGAGGAGGAGGAGGGAGGAGGAGGGGAGGAGGGGGAAGAAGGGAGGAGGGAGGAGGAGGAGGAGGAGGAGGAGGAGGAGGAGGAGGAGGAGGAGGAGGAGGTTCAGTGTCTGCTTCTCTATTTCGTCCCTGCTCCGCTCCTCCTCGTCGTCATCGTCTTCCCTCCTCCCTCCTCCTGCCACGGCCGGTGCGGCTCATGTCATGTAGTTTTTGGGCGCCATCATCACCATCATTTGCAGCAGCAGCATCATCGTCGTCGTCATCATCATCACCATCATCATCGCCATCAACAACATCATCAGCATCGTCATCGACATCATCAGCAGCAGCAGCAGCATCAGCGTCATCATCAGCAGCATCATCGTCGTCCGCCCCATCCTCTTTCTTCGCCGTCCTCCTCCCGATCCTCCTCTTCCCTCATCCTCTTGCTTCTCCTCCTCCGCCTATTTCTTCCCTTGCCCAGCCCCCGTTCCTTGACACGCCTGCCGCCTGACTCGCCTCCACTCCCGCATTTCCCCCTCGCACCCCACATCGCAACGAGGGAGAAGCGGGGGGATGGAGCTGAGGGGGAGTGGAGAGGGGGAGGGAGCGGGGAGATAGAGAGAGGGGGAAAGTGGAAGGGAGGAGGAGGAGGAGGAGGAGGAGGAGGAGGAGGAGGAGGAGGAGGAGGAGGAGGAGGAGGGAGGAGAGGAGGAGGAGGAGGAGGAGGAGGAGAGAGGGAGTCCAGGGGGTTAGGGAGGGGGGGGAGAGGGGGGAAGGCAAGCCAGGTGAGCTCGCGCTATATTGACATCCTATCCCTCCCACCCATGCGTTCCCATTGCGCACATGTTTCTCTATCTGCCGACGGGTGTCATAGCAGACCTGGAACCTTCAAAAGAACCCCAATCGTCTTATGCGGAGTCAGGAAAGCGGAGCTGTGCACATTGGAGACGGAGGCGGAGGATGAGCAAGAAGAGAAGCATGAGAAAAAAGGGCGAATATGGATGGGAAAGAGGGGATCTGCTTTTCTCTGAGGAAGAGGGGTGGAGGGAGGAGAGAAGAGGAGGAGGGAGAAGGAGGGGAGCAGGAGGAGGAGAAGGAGGGAGAATGGTTTTCTCCATGCGCATCCCTGACTGCTGCCCCAACTGGCTCCACCTCTCGCGCGACCGCGCCGGCTCAGCGCGCGGTCATGCGCGCCCGGAGCCCGGCCAGGCGTGGCAGCCATGGCTTTGCTAGGCTCGACGAGGGAGGATGGGCGGAAGGAGGAGTGGAACGAGTAGTGGCAGGAGGGGGAGGATGAGGATGATAGTGATAAGGGGGATGGTGAGCGAAAGATGAAGAAGGCGGAGAAGGAGGAGGGGAGGTGACAGAGTCGGAAAGTTCCTCGGCCTCCTCCGCTTCCTCCTCCTCCTCCTCCTCCTCCTCCTCCTCCTCCTCCTCCTCCTCTGCGTCCTCCTCCTCCTCCTCCTCCTCCGCGTTCTCCTCCACCTCCTCCTCCTCCTCCTCCCCCTCTTTCTTCCCCTCATCCTCTCCTGTTCGATGACGGTGGGTTGGACCTCATTTGGGTGGTCAGGTGTTGCTAGACTTGGAGGTCGTTCAGTGGGCTTCTCAGAATATTCGGTGACAGCCCTGGCGGACCCCGCAGCTCGGACGCCGCCGCCGCGTAGGCGCTTCAGCTGTTCTTGAAGCCTGGACGAGTGCTGGCTAGTCCAGGCTTAAAGGCTGGTCCTGCCGCTTTCGAGACTGCTTCCATGAACGTCCCGGGTGAATTCGGGCATTCAAGAAGGACAAACGTTAAGTCGGGCTTGTCCCTCTACAGAAGGAATGTTCAAAAATAGTCCAAAAATGGTCTGGGGACTATGTGTTGACTATGTTTGAGCATGTTGGGATTATTTTAGGGTATTTTTATTTTTCGCCCCAAATCCCTGTAGGGGGACGCGCCCGACTGAAGCATAAACTTGTGGCGCTCCGCGCGGATTTCTGGGATCGGCGCCTGGGACCCCAGCGGCGCCGCCTCCCGCGCCGCTCCCGACGCGCTCTCTGCTCGCCAGGGAGGGGGGCCCACCGCAGATCCAAGACATCGGCGCGGAGGGCCAGGAGTTGCTGTGAATGCAACCTTTCCTGCCTCCTACTGCTCCTCATGCCTTCTCCTCCTTCTCATGCCTCCTCCTCCTCCTCCTCATCCTCATCCTCATCCTCATCCCCGTCGCCAGGGAGGGGGGTCCACCGCAGATCCAAGACATCCGCGCAGAGCGCCAGGAGTTGCTGTGAATGCAGCTTTTTCCTTTTCTGTGACAGCCAAGCTCTGCTCATGGTTGGCGCCGCCGTCGACCTGAGCCCTGTTCGGGAAGCACTGCTGATCTGCGGCGTGGCAGTGCTGATCCGTGGCGAGGTGCATCCGGTTGAGCGTAACCGGCGGCGAGCCTGGGGGGAAGTGAGAAGGAGAAGGCTTTCTCAGGAGGATCGGAAGTCCCACGGCCTTCTGAGAAGGCACTCTCCTTCTCGGTCCCCCCCTCGCTCGTCGCCGACTTCACCCCTTCGCACGTTGACCCCTCGGACCCGCCCTTGTCCGACGAGGACCCAGGCATGCGACACCCAGAGTTTTTCCACACGGGGCCCCTGGAAGTCCCGACCCCGTCCCAGGGACCGGCCTTCCACCCTGCGTCGTTTTTGTTTGGCGCTCCCGAGGCCCGGCGAGGGCCCCCCGAGGCCGACGGTGGCCCAGAACCTCCCGCCGCCCTGATTTTTCGCCACGGCGCGAGCCTGTCTGGGGAATGGCGCTGCGTGCGTCCGGCGACCACCTCGCGGACCTCCCGGCCTCCGGCGCTGCCCTGGACGCCCGCGGTCGCTCGCCGAGTGCCTGGCACCAAGCTCGGAGCGCCGGGCCCCTTCCGTGCCTGCCGGAGGGCGGCCCAGCCACTGGTTGGCTGCAGTTGCGCCTGCTCCTCCTCCCCCTCCTCCTCCTCCTCCTCGTGCCTTCTCCTCCTCGTGCCTCCTCCTGCCTCCTCCTGCCACCTCCTCCTCCGCCTCCTCCTCCTCCTCCTCCTCCTCCTCATGTCCCCTCCTGCCTCCCTGCCTCCTCCTGCTCCTCATGCCTCCTCCTCCCCTGCCTCCTGCCTCCTGCTCCTCATGCCTCCTCCTCCTCCTCCTCCTCTGCCTCCTCCTCCTCCTCATCCTCATCCCCGTCGCCGCCGGCACTGTGGCAAGGCCCAAGAAGGGCCGTGCAAAAGCCAAGGACTTTCAGGACGCACCAGGAAGCAGTCCGCACTCCCTGCCCCGGATAACTGGCAAGAGGAGGGGGTAGGCGGATGTGGGAGGGGGTCTGTTTTGAGCTGTCGTGGATGTTTCAAATGGGTCTGGGCAAGCTCCAGAACAATTCAGATTCAGTTTCAGGAGTAACATGTCGACTTTTAAATTGCGGACAATGCAGAATTCCCCACGCGCGCGCGGGTGACCCGGCCTCCGTCGGCCTCCGCAAAGGGCTCCAGGAAAAACATGTTCAAATGCGGCACTTACATGTCGACTTGTATACGTATTCTGGACAATGCAGAACTATCCCGCGCGCACGAGCGCCGGTGACCCTGCCTCCGTCGGCCTCCTTCAGCTCCAGAAACATTCAGTTTTAGTTTCGGGAATAACATGTCGATTTTTATATCCGGAACAATGCAGAACTCTCCAGCGCGCGCGAGCGCCGGTGACCCTGCCTCCGTCGGCCTCCTTGAAAGGGCTCCAGAAAAATTCAGACATTTGTTTCGGGAAGTCAATGTCGACTTTCATGTTGTGAGCAATGCAGAACTCCCCACCCTTTCGTGGCTAGTCTGGGGGGGGGTTTACAGCTGCCCGTTTTGGAGGGTCGTGGTCCCCCCCGCCTTCTTTCGAAATCTGGAATACTCTGGGCGGGCAGAGCATTGATCTGCTCGCTGTGCGATGCTCTCTTTCCTCTTGGCCACGTCGAGAAAGCGTCCAGACTGAGCCTTGCCAGCTTCCGAGCGCCCGCGGCGTCGCGCGCGCTCGCGCCTACACGTCAACAAAAGTGTATGCCTTGCTTCTTTCACCAGGAGTCGGATGCAAGGCTCTTCGGGCAAGGGATTGCACGGAGAGGTGATCTACACAATAGTCTACGCGTGCATCAATGGCGCTTCGTTCCTGTCCGGTGTGCGGCGCCTCGACGACGGTCCATCCAAAGCAGTCTCTGATTGAACCCAGTCCATTGATCATGAAGAAGCGGTACGATGATCTGACCCTGCTTCAGGACAGGTGTGATTCCAGGCCGCAATGGCTCAGCGGCCATCGATTTGTTTTGGAGGCCGCTTCCAGCAAGGCCAGACGTGTTCAATTGCGTCTGACCGCTCCTGGTGCTCTCTGGTAGTTGTGGCGGCCAGGAAATCCCCAGGCAATGGATCCTCGTCTCTTCCGCTCCTCCTCCCTCGCATCCCTCCGCCTCTGCCCTCCTCCTCCTCCTGCTCCTCCCCATCCTGCCCATCTCCTCCCCCATCCTCCCCTTTCCCCTACCCCATGCTGCGGCTTGTTCAAAATGCTGGCTCCTGGTGCTTGCGGCGTCGGAGGTTTGTTTACGCGCGGCCGCTTGTCCGTGGGATGCAGGCAAAGACGGGGAGTGTAAGGTCTGCTCGGCGGCGTGGCGATCCGCAGTCACTCAGGTCTCGCTCGTGCTGCACCCGTGTGCAACATATCGAACTGGCACATCTTTCGAGCGCATGGGTTTTGGAAATCTCGCAAGATCGTTTCTTCATCCCTCGTCGCCCTACTGCTCCTCTCCCTCCCTCTGCTCCCCCTCCGTCTCCCTCCCCCTCCCTCTCCCCCTCCCCTCCTTGCCCCGTCCCCTCCCCCTTCCCCTCCCTCTCCCCTCTTGACCTGCCCTCCTCTTTGATCAGCCACAGATAGTTGTGCGTGTCTGTCAGCGTGGACCCCAAACTTCGGAGGTGAAAACAACGCGGTGTAACCACTTGCTCAACTTGAAGTTGCCCTCTCCACTGCTCGTGCGAACATCCCACCCTCCCACCCGCAACGTGGTCGCAAGACCTCTTAAGACCGTGATGGTGGGTACCAAATGGCACTTGGCATCGACGCCGGCTACGACAACGACAGCGACAACGACGACGACGCCGACACCGACACCGACTACGACGACACCGACGACGTCTCCAACGACTTCGACGTCGACGACAACGACGACGACGACGCCGACGATGACGACGACGGCGACGACGCCGACGCCGACGATGACGAGGGAGGAGGGAGGACGACGACAGCGACAACGACGACAACGACGAGGGAGGAGGGAGGATGGCGACGACGCGAACGACGTAGAAGGAGGGAGGACGGCGACGCCGACGACGACAACGACGAGGGAGGAGGGAACACGACGACGATGGCGAAGAAATAGGAGGGACAACGACGAAACGCCGACGAAGACGACGAGGGTGGAAGGACGACCACGGCGACAACGACGACGGAAACGACGACGACGCCAAGACGACGACGACGAGGAAAGACAGAGGACGACGACGGGGACGACGAACACGACGACGAGGGAGAAGGGAGGACGGCGACGACGACGACGACGACGCAAGAGCGCGCGCGCACTCTTTTGGTGAAAATCCGTGTTGCGAAACCATGTGTTTTTCTACATGTTTTGGCTCGATTTTGAAATCTCTCCGAAAGCGAAGGTGTTTGAAGGAATCTGGCATGCGCGCGCGACGACGCGCGCGCGCGTGCAATTCGTCCCATTTCTCGCGGAGGATTCTCGCGACGGCACGCGCGCAAGGGCGTTCGAACGATCTCGACATGCGCGCGCGAAGCCCGTTGGGTAGTAATTTTTGAAAATGTTGAAGCACCTATCGTTTTCTTAAGATTTTGCAAGAGCCCGCGCGTAATTTGTTTGGAAAACCCGTGTTGCGAAAGCATGTATGATTGTATGTGTTTTGGAAACTAGAGTTTGAAATCCTCCCGAAACCGCAGGTGTTTGGAGGATTTCGGCATACGCGCGCGACGACGCGCGCGTGCGCACTTCGTTTTGTTTTTTGCACAGAATTCTCGCGACGGCACGCGCGCAAAGGCGTTCGAAAGGTTTCGACATGCGAGGTTCTTGTGTTGAAAAACTTGAGACACCTATGGTTCATGGAGGTTTCGCAAGAGCGCACCCGCAAGCTTTTGTTGAACATCCGTGTTGCGAAACCGCATGTTTTGCGTATGTTTTTTGGGAACTCGATGTTGAAATCCTTCCGGAACCCATGGTTTTTGAATGATTTCGGCATGCGCGCGCGACGACGCACGCGTGTGCACTTCGCCCCTTGGTTTTTGCAGCGGATTTTTTGAAACTTGTGAGGTCTGATAAATGAGTGTGCTCGCAAACATTCGTTGCAGAGGATGGCGGGGGGGAACCGATACCAGTTTGGCTGCGAAAGTATGAGTTCACAGGTCGGATGGGCATTGGGTCAGGATCCGATCTGTTTCACGTCGGTTCCCAAGGGGTCTTTCCGTCCGGGGGGGGGGGGGTGGTAAAACCTATTCTCTTTCTAGAATGGGGAATTCACTTTGACTGTCTCGAAGCTGTCCTTTCCACTGCTCATGCAAACATCTCACCCTCCCACCTGCAACTTGGTCGCAATACCTCTTAATACCGTGACGCTAGGTACCACATGGCACTCGGCAACGACACTGGCGACGACAGCGACAACGACGACGACGACGCCGACGACGACTACGACGACACCGACGATGACTCTGACGATTCCGCCGACGACGACAACGACGACGACGACACCGACGACACCGACGACGACAACGACGACGCCGACAACGACGCCGACGGCGACGGCGACGTTGACGATGACGACGTCGACGTCGACTACGCCGACGACATTGACAACGACGACGGCGCCGACGACGACGACGATGATTGCGACAACGACGACGACGCATGCAACGACGACGGCGACGACAACGACGCCGCCAACGAAGACGACGCCGACGACGACGACGCCGACGACGATGACGACGACGACGCCGACGACGACAACGACGAAGACGACGACGACGACATCGCCACTGAAGACGGCGACGATGGCCAGGGAGGAGGGAGGACGACGACGGCGACAATGACGACAACGACGAGGGAGGAGGGAGGACGACGATCACGCGAACGACGAAGAAGGAGGGAGGACGGCGACGCCGACGACGACAACGACGAAGGAGGATGGAAGACGACGACGACGACGACGACGACGACGACGACGACGACGACGACTTCCGCGATGAAATAGGAGGGACGACGAAAAGAGGCCGACGACGGTCGACGACGACGACGAGGAAGGAGGAAGGACGTCCACGGCGACAAAGACGACGGAAACGACGACGACGCCAAAGAGGACGACGACGACGACGACGACGACGAGGAAGGACAGAGGACGACGACGGCGACGACGACGACGACGACAAGGGAGGAGGGAGGACGGCGACGACGACGACGACGACGCAAGAGCGCGCGCACGCACGTTTTTGTTGAAAATCCGTGTTGCGAAACCAGGTGTTTTTGCATGTTTTTCGGACATTCGGTTTTGACATCTTTCCGAAACCGCAGGTTTGTTGAAGGATTTCGCGACGACGCGCGCGCGTGCACTTCGTTCTCTTTCTCGCGGAGGATTCTGGCGACGGCACACGCGAAAGGGCGTTGGAACGATCTCGACATGCGCGCGCGAAGTCCGTTGGGCAGTATTTCTTAAGACATATTGAAACACCAATGGTTTCCTTAAGATTTCGCAAGTGCGCGCGCGTAAGTTTGTTTTAGAAAACCCGTGCTGCGAAACCATGCGTATTTGTTTGTGTTTTGGAAATTCGATTTTGAAATAGGTGTTTGAAGGATTCCGGCATGCGCGCGCAACGACGCGCGCGCGTGTGCACTTCGTCCATTTTGTTGCAAGGGATTCGTGGAAGCTTATGATTCTTGATAAACGGAGAACCCCCTATGCTGAAAGCTCTGTCGTGTTAGTCCTGTGGCGTGCGGCGTGGAGTTGGAAGCCATGCGGTGTAATTTTTGTATGGGCAGTCGTGCCGTATAAGATCTGCCGTGTGAACAGGCTATGTGGTGCAGGCCACTCCGTGCAAGCAGCGCAATGTGAACGGGTGTGAAAAGCTGTGGGGTGTCAGAGCACCCGGCGCCCACGAGGCGCACACCGGGCCGCACGGGCGGCAGCGTGCCTCGGCATCCAAGCGCGGGGACCGCCCCCGGAGCCGCAGCAGGGCGCAGGCAAGCCCGAGACGCGCCCTCCAAGCGCGGGGCGCCCACGAGGCGGCACTGGCGGCAGCGTGGCGCAAACCCAACATGCCCAACCAGTCCATGAAGAAAGCAAGCTTTGAAGCCCTGAAGTGCAAGGTTTTTTGTTGCGAATGTCGATGCCACGGTCGAACAACGATATCCTTTCCCTTCTTCCTGGCCCCGCCAGGACTTTGCGGTCTCTGGGGTCTACGGAGGCCTCTGTAGGTCCCCAAACCCTCGCAGGCCCAGGAACGCCGGGAGGCGTTCATTACTTTCAAAACGTGCTCAACGCTGATACCTGGACCCCTCCACCTGTGAGGCGTGGATTCTTGCCAGTTTTCGGGCTGCATCTAGCCGCAGCGTACGTGAGGGCCCCCCTCTCGATCCTCCTCCTCGGCTCCTTCAGTTGCCCCCGCGGAGTCCTCCATTCTCCATGGGCCTCGATCCCTTGGGGACCTCCGCAGGCCTCCAGAGAAGCCAACAGAAAAGGCCAGGGAGGCCCAGCGAGCCTGGCGAGCATGCCTGCCGGCTGCTCAGCCCTCTGCAGGGCATCGGGTGCGCCATCGTGCTGCAGGCCAGGTGCGGTGGGATCCGGAGACGTACGCGTGCGCGCAGCTCGGGGAGGGGGGAGCGAGGGAGGAAGCGCGAGACGGAGCGAGGAGGGAGGGAGGGGGGAGGGGAGGACGGGAGGACGGGGCACCACGGCCTCGCCACGCAGGACTCGAGGCGCTGCTGGCCCAGGTCCGCAGGTGCAGCGCCCGTCCCCGGCACTCGGCGCCAACGTGCTCGTGATGCCTGTGCTCTCGGATACCGTCGGCCCGGATTGGTAGGTCGACCCTGCCAGCTCAAGGGCACCCTTGTGTCCTGTGCCTCGCGACACGTGCCTCCTTGCACTCCTACCCATCGGTCGTTGAAAGTATGTATTTTTGGATTCCCAGATTCCAATCAACTTTCAGCGCCTTCATACTTCAAGAGTCGAGTGGTTTTCCCTCTTCCTTCCTCTGCAGGAGGCGGGCGGAAGCCCAATCTATTTCCAACGCCTTCCTACTTTATGTTTCTACCTGCTTCTTCCGACCGATGGGCATGGCGGTGTGGCCCTCGGAAGGATCTTGTGTCCTCTCGCGTGTCCTGTCCGATCAAGGCCGGCTGTGCTCTTGGCATGGGCATGGAATCAAAAACAAGAAACGTGATCGCAACATTTGCTTGGTTCAGCATCGCTCAATTGTGGCTGCCGCCTGCCTCGAGATTGCTCGTGGGCCGACGGGACCTGCGGAATAGTTGATTGGCAGCGTTCGGACGTGTGCATGTTTTCGGCGAAGACCATCGAAGAGTACCCTGGATCATCGAACAGCAACAAGCACGCACGAAACCGAAGCAGGACTGCCGAGCGACGGCAAGGTGGCCCAGCGATCCCCAACGGTGCTGCGGAAGCGACGTGGCCCCGACCAGAAGGCTCCGTGGTTGGATCCCGATCCCCTCCTCGAGCTCTCGAGTCCTCGACCCTTCTCCTCCCAGAGATCCGACGCTCCAAAAATTTGAAGCGGGCGTTTTTGTTGCTGTTTTCGCCCTCTGGGGGCCCTCGCCGGGCCTCGGGACCGTCCAACAACGACTCAGGACGGAAAACCAGCCCTAGGGAAGTGGTCAAGACCTGCGGAGCCGACGCATCGAACCAAAACCGGAGCAGCGGGATGTGTCCTCCCAAGGCCTCGATCGTCGATGCTCGGTGCATCTCATCGAGTTTTCGATCCTCGATACCTCTCCTCGGCGGCGAGCCCGGGGGGGAGTGAGAAGGAGGAGGCCTTCTCAGAGGGCTCGGAAGTCACCCGGCCTTCTGAGAAGTGCTCTGAGCCCTTCCTGAGGACGCAGCAAATTCCAGAAGGCGCGAGGGTTTCTGAGAAGGCCCGCCGCCTTCTGAGGAGGCCTTCTCCTTCGCGCTTCCCCCCCCTCGCTCGCCGCCCGTCGATGCCTCTCCTCGATGCCTCTCCTCGACGCCCGATCATCGAGTTTTCGGTCCTGGGTGCCTCATCCTCGAGTCCTCGATGCCACAGCGGGCGGCGTCGAGGGTTCGAGGATGAGGCACCGAGGATCTGGGAATTCGAGGCTTCGAGGGCGAGTCCTCGCATCCTCGATGCCGCTCATCCTCATCCTCGAATTATCGATCCTCGATGCCTCGATGCCTGAGGAGGAGGAGGAGGAGGAGGAGGAGGAAGAAGAGGAGGAGAAGGAGGACGGGGAGGAGGAGGAGGAGGAGGAGGAGGAGGAGGAGGAGGAGGAGGAGGAGGAGGAGGAGGAGGAGGGGGAGGGGAGGAGGAGGAGGAGGAGGAGGTTTTCGATCCTCGATGCCTCGATGCCTCGACCCCCCCCTCCCAGCTCCCCGCACGCAGGGGCGGTCGTGGGCGGCCCCGAGCGCGGCGGGCGGCAGCGCAGCATCGGCGGCCGCTCGGTGGCCGAGGTCCGCAGGCTCGGCGAGGGCGGCTTCGCCTCGGTCCGCGGGGGGCAAACGGCACGGAGGAGGAGGAGGAGGAGGAGGAGGAGGAGGAGGAGGAGGCGGAGGCGGAGGCGGAGGCGGAGGCGGAGGCGGAGGCGGAGGCGGAGGAGGAGGCGGAGGAGGAGGAGGAGGTCTGCGAGCTCCGACGCTCCAAGGAAGAAAGCTGGCGAGCGGGCGGTTTTGGGCTGCCCTCGGCCTGCAGGGGGCTCTCGCCGGGCCTCGGGACCTCCGGGGCAAACGCGTCGGACACATCGGAGCAGCAGGGCTTCTGGGAGCGGCAAGGGGTGTGTGGCCCTTCTCGATCTGCGATCCGCGGCCCTCGATCCTCGATGGATCGAGCCTCAGTCCTCGAGCCTCGCCTCGATCGAGCCTCGCTCCTCGACTGATCGATCCTCGATCCTCGATCCTCGTTCCTCCTCGTCTGAGAAGGGGGAAGCGTCGCCCCAAGATCGCCCGTGCATCGCCAGTCGAAGCCTTGTCCCAGCCTTCTCGGGAACGTAGAGGCCAGCCACGGAGGGCCCGTCTCCGGTCTGTCGGCGATGCATCGTCGGTCCCAGGTCACCGCTTCCGCCCGGACCTCGGGCGCGGGCTCGCCTGGATTGCGGATGAGCGTACTTTTCCGAAGCACGAAGCCCGCGATGCCTGCCTGAGTTTTTGCGACGGGGCGAGCCGAGATGGCCTGGAAGCGGGGCCCGCCCCCTTAGCACCTCCCCCCGCAGGTCTGGCTGGTGCAGGACCTGGATGGCTCTCGCCGCCGTCACCCGCCGCCGCCAGCGCAGAAGGAGGAGGAGGAGGAGGAGGAGGAGGAGGAGGAGGAGGAGGAGGATCCCAGCGCACCACAGGAGAGGTCCATCACACATTCTTGTTGCGGCGTACTGGTTGCCATACAAACTTTTTTGCGCCGGCGGCTGGGCAGAGACATTGCGCTGGCGAGTGGAGCGAAGAGGGGCAGCGTGAAGCGAATTGCGCCACCATGCGGGAGGGAGGAGGGGGGGGGGGGAGGACGACGGGGCGCCGGCCGAGGCCGGGAGAGAGACGGGAGCCAGGGCTGCTCAGAGCAGACCCAGGCGTGTGGCGTGGCCGAGGCCGGGGGGGTCGGGCCATCCAGGGCATGTAACGCACTGCACTTCTCATGGTGATCGTTTTCCCACTCGTTGTTCTGCCGACGGGCGCGGGCCCTCGAAGCCCCCTCCCCCCGCCCCCAATGGAGTGGACCTTGGTTGTTTTGGGGCGCCTGTTTCATGCAGGCGGAGTCTCGGCCATGGGACGCACTGCTGCATGCAGCTGCATTCAGCAGAGGTCCGGAGCCAGACACTCCCCCTCCCCCCCTTCCGCCCAATGTCGAAACAGTCGTCGTCGTCGTCGTCGTCGTCGTCGTCGTCGTCGTCGTCGTCGTCGTCGTCGTCGTCGTCGTCGTCGTCACCGTCACCGTCATCGTCGTCGTTGTCGTCGTCGTCGTCGCCATCGCCATGGCCATCGCCGCCGCCGACGTCGGCGTCGCCGCTGTCGTCAGCAACGCGTCGTTGACGTTGTCGTCAACGTCTTCGTCGAGGTCGCGGTCGATGCCGTCGTTGTGGCGGGAGCCGGCGGGGCCCCGCCGCCGCGCCGTGGTGGTCGTCATCGACGGCGTCGTCCAGTCGCCGTCGCCGACTCCGCCGACGGCTTTGCAGTGCCGTCGCCGACGCGGTCGACGACTTGGCAATGCCGTCGTCGACGCCGTCGTCGTCGTCGCCGCCGTCGGCGACGGCTACGGCGACGGCGAAGGCGACGCCGCCCACGACTTGGCCAGTGTCGTCACAGACGCCGCCGTCGTGGTCGCCAGGCTGCTCGTCGGTGGTCGTGTGCGTCGTCCTGCCGCCAAGCTCTCCACCAAGCTCTTGCTGCTCCGGCCCGGGGGGCCAGAGTAGCAGCGGGAGCAGGACGCGGCGGGAGGGATGGCGGAGCGGATGCAGGCGAAGGAGAAAGCAGGAGGAAGCAGGGAGAAGGAGGAGGAGACCCTCCTCCCTCTCCCTCCTTCCTCCTCCCTCCCTTCGCGATTCCTCCCTCGCTTCCTCCTTAGAAGGGAGGCAGAGGAAAGGAGGAGGCGGCAGAAGGGAGGAGGACGAGGAGAAGGAGGGCGAGGAGGACGGAGGAGAAGGGACGAGGGCGAGGGAGCAGTAGGAGGAGAGGAGGGAGGAGGAGGAGAAGGGCGAGGAAGAGGGAGGAGGAGGAGGAGGAGGAGGAGGAGGAGGAGGAGGGAGGAGGGCGAGGGAGGAGCAGGAGGGGGGGGGGGGCTGGCGCACGCCTCGGCCAGGCCTCCCCACCCGAGGTCGTCGTCGCCATCGCCGTCGTCGTCGTGCTGCTGCTCTCTGGAAGGCCCGGGGGTGGCGCCGCCAGCAGACCGCCCCCATGGCCTGACAAGGAGAAGGGCACGAGAAGGCCTGGAGACGGCGGGGGACCCCCTCGCTTCATGAAAAAGTCACGATGGGAGGTTTTTCGCTGTTTTCAGCCTCCAGGGGCCTTCGCCAGGCCTCGGGACTGCCACATAACAACTCAGGATGGAACGCCAGTCCCTAGGATGGGGTCCAGGCTCCTGGGAGTCTGATGCGGAGGGAGGAGGGCCAGGGCTCGTTTCGATTCCTCCGATCCGATTTGGCTTCCGATTTCTCAACGGAGGCCTACTAGCATGCCGATTTCCGCCGATCCGACCTTGCCCGAGTTGGCTGCCGATTTCCGCCGATCCGATTAATGTCAATCGCCGATCCGACTTATCGATTCGATTCTGGGCCCTCTTGGAATGTGGAGGACCGAGACGGAGGGGCAGGAGCCGGATAAGCGGTGGTGGCACGTGCACGAAAAGTACGAATCAGGGTGAAGCGGAGTAAGAGGATGAGGAGTAGGAGTGGGAGGAAGAGGAGGATAATTGAGGATGCAAGAGGGGAAGAGGAAGAGGAGGATCAGGAAGAAAAGCAGCAACATACAAGAATTGGGGGATACGGATTTAAGACGAGGAGGATCAGGAGGATGAGGAGGAGGAGGAGCAGCAGTACCATACGCAGATGGAGGGGTTCCAGCTGTAGTCGTAGCAGCCAGGAGAGGATGGAGGAGGAAGAATATCAGGACGAGAACGGAGGTGGCAGGAGGGAAGAGGAACAGGACAAGGAGGAAAGAGAAGGAAGGAGGAGGTTCTCCTTATCCTCCTCATTATTCCTCCTCCCTCCTTCTCCTCCCTCCCGCCTGCTGGGGAGGAGTGATGGGGAGGGGTGAGGAAGTCAAGCTGAGATGGAGAGGTCCCCACTGGTTCGCAGCGATGGTGGTCTTCGAAAGGACACCGCCACTTCCGAGAGCTTCGCCCTCAAGAAGATCTCCTGCCCAGACCGCAAGTCCTTCGAGAAGGGGCTGCGGGAGGTGGTTTGTGTGTGTGTGTCCTGCTTCCCCCACGACTACTCCACGCGGATGGGAGGATGAGGCGGAGGAGGAAGGGGAAGGAGGCGGAGGAGGAAGTGGAGGAGGAGGTGGAGGAGGAGGAGGAGGAGAGGAGGAGGAGGAGGAGGAGGGGAGGACGAGGAGGAGGAGGGAGGAGAGAGGAGGAGGCGGAGGGGAGGGGAGAGGAGGAGGAGGAGGAGGAGAGGAGGGAGGAGGAGGAGGAGGGGAGTGGAGGAGGGGGAGAGGAGGAGGAGGAGAAGGAGGAGGTGGAGGAGGAGGAGGGGGAGTGGACAAGCTAGGTGCGCTCGCGTCATATCTGACGTCCTACCCCTCCCTCCCATCCCTTACCATGGCGCTGATTTTCTCTATCCGCTGACGCGTGTCGTAGCGGACCTGTGGCTCCGCGCGCGCGTGCGTAGTGGGTGGTGGTGCACGTGCGTGCGTGCGTGCGTGTGTGCGTGGTTGTCGTGGTGGTGGGTGGTGGTGGTGGTGGTGGTGGTGGTGGTGGTGGTGGTGGTGGTGGTGGTGGTGGTGGTGGTGGTGTGGTGGTGGTGGTGGTGGTGGTGGTGGTGGTGGTGGTGGTGGTGGTGGTGGTGGTGGTGGTGGTGGTGTTGGTACTGGTGCTGGTGGTGGTGGTGGTGGTGGTGGTGGTGGTGGTGGTGGTGGTGGTGGTGGTGGTGGTGGTGGTGGTGGTGGCGGTGCGGCGCGGTGGTGGCGGGCGGATGGGCGCGCGAGAAAAAGGCCCGCGCTGGGGCGAGAACGCCATCCTGAACGACGGAGGCCAAACACCGATCCGAAAATGAGGCCCACGCTGCAGCGGGAGTACGATTCGGAACGATTCGGGAGCAGAAATGAGGCCGGCGCCTCAACGAGAGCAGCATTTTGGGAACAAATTACGCTGGCGCCTCAGCGAGAGTCGTTTCCCGGGATTTCCCGGGAATCCTGTGTGTTAAAAAACAGTACGCGGAGGGTGCGCGGCCATCACCCGGACGCGATTAGGGGAAGAGGGAGAGTACTTTCATATTGAGTAATTGTGGAGGAGGAGGAGGCGGAGGAGGAGGAGGAGGAGAAGGAGGAGGAGGAGGAGCTGGGGGAGGAGGAGGGGGAGGAGGAGGAGGAGGAGGAGAAGGAGAAGGAGGCGGTGGAGGAGGAGGAGGAGGAGGAGGAGGAGGAAGAGGAGGAGGAGGAGGAGGGAGGAGGGAGGAGGGAGGAGGGACGGAGGAAGGAGGAGGAGGGGCGGAGGATGGGGAGAGGAGGGATGAGGGTAAACTTCGACCCCCGATCGCCTGCCCCCACCTGCCCAGCCAGCAGCGCTCGGCTTCTTCCTTGGGGGGCCTATCGCCAGTCGTCGGCGAGGTGCGGTGCATCTCGTCGATGCCTCCCCATCCTCCTCTGCCTTGCATCCTTCTGCTCCCTTTACTCCTGCAGTCCTTCCTTCCCCCTCATCGTACTCCTCCTCCATCGCCTCCGACACCCTCTTATGGATCAGGCATTGCCGTACACCCCACATGTCATTATGTAGTTACCGCCCTACGTCCCTATGCACCTCTTCCCGCCCCAGTCTGCACGTCCTTATCACACTTCTCATCCTCCATCCCCACCCTTCGCCACTCGGTACAATCCCTGGATGCCCGTCTGGCTTCGCCAACCAGCAGGTCCTGGCCCGCCTCCGCCCCCATCTCAATATATTTGTGTTTACATCCTCGTCTCGTCTATGTTGTCATCTTTCGTCCTCCTACCTACTTCCTCAGCTACTCGTTTGCCGCTCAGGGCGTTCGATCGTTGCTTAGACTTGACTGGCCACCTGCTAGTCCTGATGCATCCGCCCCCCATCACCCTCACCCATCCCTTCTCCAACAATTAATGCCTCCATGCTCCTCACCTCCCACCCTCCTTCCCTCCCTCCTTCTTCTCCAGTGACGAGCACCTCCAAGCCGACGTCGATGATGAGGATGACCAGCACCCCTCCCCCCGACGAAGACTACGACGACGAGGACGACGTCCGGAGGCGGAGCTCTTGGAGTGGCTGCCACGCCACCCTAACGTCGTCGGGTTCTCCGGAAGCGGCGTCTGCGACGGGCCCTCCGCCCAGGTCAAGGGGGGCCGGGACGGCGGGGATGGCGAGTGAGGGGGGGGAGGAGGCAGGAGAAGGCAGGGGTGGGCGAGGGCAGGGGGAGGGAGGGGCGGGGGAGGAGGGGGAGAAGGAGGAGGAGGAGGAGGAGGAGGAGGAGGACGAGGAGGAGGAGGAGGAGGAGGAGGAGGAGGAGGAGGAGGAGGAGGAGGGGGGGTTATAGCGAGGAGGATCGGGGCGAGGAGGCAGGGGGGGAGCCGTCATGATGACAGGACGGTGCGGGGAGTCCAGGAGCCTCGATGAGGGAGCCACGGCGAGGGAGAGACGGAGGAGAAGCAGGGAAGAGCAGGGAGGAGGGGAGCCGGGCAGCACAGCCCAGACTTCAGTCGGGCGCGTCCCCCTACAAGGGGATTTTCGACGAAAAATTAACATACTCTAAAAATGCCCCAAAAAGGTAAAATGATAATAAAAAATCGTCCCCAGACTATTGTTGGATTATTTTTGTATGTGGTTGTTCTTCATTTCTCGTCGAAAATCCCCCTGTAGGGGGACAGGCCCGACTTAAGCCCAGACCTGCGACGCCGTGTTTCTTGTGTCGCAGCGTTGGCTCCCAGAGGTCGAGGCAGCCCCCCCCCCCGCGATTTGGGGATCTCTTGGCGCCCCCCCGGGCGCAGGAATGGCCCCGAGGAGGCCGAAGCGTGCCACGAGTTCTCCGTCGCTGGTTTTGCGGGGCACGGCGCGAGGAGGCGTGGGGCGGAGGAGGGCTCCGGGGACGGGAAGGTCAAGGAGGTGTTGCTGCTGCTCGAGCTCTGCTCGGGCGGGCACCTGCTCGACCTGCTCGAGAGCCACTCCGGGCGGCTCACCGAGGAGCCTCCGCGCCGCATGCATTGCGAGGTCAGCCGCAAGGGTTGCCTTGTATCGTGCGACGCTTTCACCTCCTTCAACCTCCCTCCTCCTCCTCCTCAACCTCCTTCTCCTCCCTCTCCTCCTCCTCCTGAGTAGTTCGGCCTCCTCCGCCTCCTCCTCTCCTCGATCTCCGCCGTTGTCTCCAGGGCTTCCAGGAGGGGCGGGCTACCTCCTATTTTTCGGAATCCCCTTCTTCTCCTCCCTCCTCTCTCAGCACGCACCCTTGCCCCGTGTGTCCGCGCACATGCCTCGGGCAACGGTGCACACACACACACACACACACACACACACACACACACCACACACACACACACACACACACACGCACGCACGCACGCACGCACGCACGCACGCACGCACGCACGCACGCACGCACGCACGCATGCACGCATGCACGCACGCGCACACGCACACGCGCACGCACACGCACACCCTCTCTGCTGCCCCCACCCCCTGGACCCGCGGCCCGGCGGCGTGGAGGGCCCGCGGAGAGGAGGAGAATCGGGAGGGGGAGGGGGAGGGGGAGGGGGAGGGGGAGGAAGAGGAGGAGGAGGAGGAGGAGGAGGAGGGAAGGAGGAGGAGGAGGAGGAGAAGGAGGAGGAAGAAGAGGAAGAAGAAGAGGAAGGAGAAGGAGACGAAACAGAGGAGGATCAGGAGGAGGAGGAGGAGGAGGAGGAGGAGGAGGAGGAGGAGGAGGGAGGGGAGGGCCTTGTCCCGAGGAGCAAGTCCTCGGGCCCTTCTCGGACGTCGCGGCCGGGGTCGCCTTCCTGCACGGGCGTTCGCCGCCCGTGCAGCACCGCGACCTGAAGGTGGACGCTGCCCGTCTTCCTCGCCGCCGCCGTCGCCCGCCGTCTGCCCTTGTCGTCGTCGTCGTCGCCCACGTCGCCACCATCCCGTCGTCGTCGCTGTCGCCGTCGCCGTCGTCGGGGTTCTCTGCCTCCCTCCCGAGTCCTTGACGTCGCTCGGACGTGTGCGCCTGCTTCTCGGCGAGGGCCATCGAGGAGCAGGTCGGGTCATCTTAGGAAGAGATACGCGTACGAGGCCAAACAACGCACGGGCAATGGACGTCCGAGCGATGGCGAGGGAAGAAGACGGAGGAGGATGGAGCAGGGGCCACCAAGGGAGAAGAGGGGACGAGCATGAGAAGGTTGGAGGAGCGGGGGAGGGCTGATCTTTGCATTTTTCGGGCGTGCGCATGTTTTCTGGCGAGGGCCACCGAGGAACATCAGGGATGAAAGGGGATGACGCGGAGGGGGGAGATGGGAGAAGGAATGCACACAGAAGAGGAAGGAGACGGGGAATGAGGAAGAGGATGACGAGGACGAGGAAACACGAGGAAAAGAAGAAAGAGGAGGACCAGGAGCAGGGATCAGGAGATGCAGGAGACGGGGAGGACGTCGATGAGGTGGAGGAGGAGGATTAGGAGGAGGATCCGCAGCACCAGCAGCAGAATAGGAGGGAGGAGGAGGAGCAGGAGGAGGGAGGAGGAGGGAGGAAGAGGGGGAAGGAGAGGAGGAGGAGGAGGAGGAGGAGGAGGAGGAGGAGGAGGAGGAGGAGGAGGAGAGGGAAAGTGGCAGGGGGAGGAAGAGGACTAACACTTTGAAAGCAGGGTCACCAGAAAGGATGATCAAGAAGGGGGAGGCAGGATGAGGAGGCAGGAGGAGTGATGGGGAACATGAAGCGGGAGGTGCGAAAATGGGAAATCACCCACACTCGGAAGAGGAGACAAGCTAGGCGCGCTCGCGCGATATCTGACATCTAACCCTCCCACACATCCCTTCCCACTTCGCTTATGTGTGCCCTTATCCGCCGATTGTTGTCATAGCGGCCCTGGACCCCCTCAAATGACGCCGTCGTGCTGTTCACAATCAAATAGGGGGGGTGTACATTGGTGCAGGCTGGAGGAGGAGGGGGAGGAGGAAGAGGAGGAGGAGGAGGAGGTGGCGGATGAGCAGGGACACGAGAAGGAGGAAGAGGAGCCAGAGGAGGAGTACAAAGAGGAAACAGCACTGAACAGCATCAACAGGGTCAGGGTACGGAGGAAGAGGAGCCGCAGGAGGAGGAGGAGAGGAGTAGGAGGACGACGAAGAAGTGCGGGAGGAGCAGGAGCATGAAGGCAAGGCGCAGGAGGGGGAAGGACGCCTCCGGCCGACCTCGTCGTCCTCTTCTTCCGCACCCTGTTTTTCCTCCTGCTCCTCCTCGTCCTCCTCGTCGTCGTCGTCCTCGTCGTCCTCCTCGTCCTCCGCCTCGTCCTCCTGCTCCGAGGAGGGGAGCGGCGACGGCGAGGAAGGACTCGGATCCAGAAGTGGGGGCCGCGTGGACCGGGAGCAGCGCGCCGAACCTGCAAGGGGGCCGACGCACGCTGCAGCGGGAGCGCCATGCTCGCAACATCAAACACGCTCCGATCGAAGCAGACACCGTGCAGTCAGTCGACCATTGAGATCCACGTACGCTCAAAGCAGCAGTTCGAGGTTCGCGGCTCGAGGCTGTAATGCGTTCTCGGTGGATCGCGGCGGGCTCGCAGCCTCGGGGTGGTCTCTGGCTGGCCGCTGCGCCTCGCCGAGAGCGTTCCGGGGGTTTCCCGGATCGTCCCGAGCGGCCGCTGGAGGCCGTAGTTGTGCCCCGAAAACCAACATGCCTTTCAAACAGCAACGCAACGCATCACCGCAAGCAATCAAGTACAGTCGGGGCGCTGAAGAAGGAACCCTTTGCGTTGGGGAGGGACTCGCTGTTCCTTAATTGTTCCACACCTTGCCTAAGGTTATCCCTAAGTTTTCGATGGGAAGTCGAAGTTTGCCTTAAGGAGAAAAGGGGCCTCGTTCCTTATGTAGGGTTCCTTAGGTCAACGCCTCGACTGTATGGAACAGCATGTGCGCTATGTGCAGCATGCGAGGGAGGCCAGCGTCCCGCTCGGACCGATTCCGGGAAGGGATGAGAGTGGTGTTCGCGTCGGGTATCCGTAGAATGTGAGACGAGATTCGAGGAGAAGGAGGAGGGAGGGGAGCGTGGAAGAGAAGGTCAGAAGGAGGAGGTCTTCCCCCTTTATCCTCCCCCTTCTCAACTCATCCGCTCCACCCCTCCTCCTCCTCAAGAGGATGAGGAGGAGGAGGAGGAGTAGAGCGGCGGCAGCAGCAGCGGCGACGGTCACGATGGCGGCGGCGACGACGTCGAGGCAAATGGCGACGGACGGCAGCGACGACGGCAACGGCGACGACATCGGCTACGGCGGCGAGGTCGAGAACGTGCTGCTCGGCGCGGACGGGAGGTGGAAACTCTGCGACTTCGGCTCGTGGAGCTCCGACTCGGCCTTAGGCGGCCCCCGTTGGTCGTCGGCAACCGCCGCGCGACCATCGTCGTCGTGGCCGTGGTCGCCGTCGTCGGAGGAGGAGGAGGAGAAGGACGGAAGGAAGGACGGAAGAAAGGAAGGAATGAGGGAGGAGGGGGGAGGAGGAAGAAGGAAAAGGTTGATGCGGCGCGCGGCTTCGCTAGGTGCGTGCTCGATGGTGCGTGGGCGGGCGGCACTGTAGCCGAAGGGGCCCAGGGCCACCGCCATTGGCAGTGCAAGAAGGAGAGGAGAGTGGGGCGAGAGCCCGAGGAGGCAGATGGCAAGAATGCGAGATGCAGGAATCACCGGCGCACTGGGCAGTACCAGACACCACTGCGGCCCGGAGAAGAGCGCGCAGGAGGCGGCAGGCGCCTAGAAAGGAAGCACGCAGAGAGACAGCAAGAGCGAGTGCTCGTGCACATGATGCGTGACCAGGGACCAGGCCTCGGGCCAGGGGAGACCCAGTGGGAGCACAAGAGGACTGCGATTGGGGGCGACCCACGAAGAAGAAGAAGAAGCGCACGCGACACGCAGGGGCTGGGCTGCACGGAAAGCGCTGGCGCCAGCCAGGGGAAACAGCACACTCTAAGAATCGCTCAGCGCAGAGGGCGGGTGACCCGGCTCGGGCGGAGCGGGAGCCCCGGGGTAAGCAGCAGGATCGGCGGGGGCGGCCCACGACGAGAAGGGGGAAGCCGTGCCGTGCGACGCCACACGCAAAGTTCCGAAGATTTGCACGACAGGTGCCCCTTGCAGAGGGCATCGCTGCTATCCCAAATGTGCCATGCCAATGCGGTCCAACGAATCCGCGGCGAAGGGGGGGACCCAGAAGGGGATGCAGCCATGCACGCGCCTCAGATTAAAATGTTGGCTTGGGCAGCGGAGGTGGCCGAGGCACCATGTGCACCAGTACACGTTAGCATCGCGTAAAACAGAAAACAGGCGAGTGCGTTGCTCAAGGCTCACGATGGCGCTGCCTGAGTGGATGAATGGCTCTGACCGCAGCAGATTGGAAGCTGGATGCAGTAGAGCGCAACAGTGTCAGAACGATCAGCGCAGTTTGGACGTCACGAGAGTACAGCAAAGAAGCAGAGAACCTGGTCGTACCTACACCGCGCAAGAGTACCAATGACTGAGAGTCAACTATGCGATGGAAGGCGTGCACATGGCAGCAGGAAGGTCAACGTGCTTTGCTGTCAGACATTGGAAAGATGTCGGGGACTCCTGGATTTTGCGATCGAGCCAAGAAATCAGAGCATCCTTCTCTTCTGGAGGAGTGTCGTCGATGCACCAAGCACGGCACCTGAACCCTGTACCGGCCTCGCACATCTTAGCACTGCGCCAGCGGCCACACTGCGGTTTGCAAGTAGGAGGCTGCAAAGCGCTAAAACTCTCACCCTCAGTCATCTCCGGAGCAGGGGGCCTGGAAGCGTCGCGCATGGGCGATCGAGGCCTCTCATGTGCTGGCAGCGCGCCGAATTGCACAGCATTCCCGATGGAAAGTCCAGACCGCCTGGCCTAGAGGTATGCGTTGATGTCTCCGCCGTGCACCCCTGCTGTGCGTTCGCGCTTGCAGCATGCTCATCAGACATGCAGTTCTCTTCTAGCGAGGAAGCGACAGCGCACAGCTTGATAGACAGTCTGGGACGTGCACCTGCACTGCTGCTAGACAGCATAGCCTGCATGCCTAGCTGATCTTGTTCTTGCTCATCTGTGCCATCCTTGAAGGCGCGACTACCGGCTCTTTTCAGATTTTCAGAGACCTGGGGGAGCTGGAGCGCGGCTTGGGGCGGCTCATTGGAACAGCAGCAGACAGGCTGCGAACAATGGTACTGGCGAAGCTTATCGTCAGATCTAGCCTGCATGTTGTCTGATGTGCTTGCCAGTAGAGCGCTTAGAGCACGGCGCCTGGCACCAACCTCTCCAGGAGAGCGGGGGGCTATTCGGCGGAGTCGATTGGGGGCGCCCCATTGAGGCAGGCAGGAGAGCGTCTCCTTCAGCAATGTTTCACTCTTGCGGGCCGTAGTAGCCTTGTCAGAGGCAGTGGTCGACCGTTTCCGACGGTTTGGCTGCACAGCAGTTAGTTTCCGTGCCCCACACGTGGAAGTCACGCAGCCTTCGTCGTCGAAGCTGCCAGGCGGCAACAAAGGAGCAGGCGACGAGGCACCAGGCCCGTCTCTGGGGACGAGCGCACTGCTCACATCAGGCGGGGGAGGCGGAGACGTGGGTGGGAGATGCAGGAGTTGTCCTCCGCCTGCAGCTCGTCCCCCAGCTGGACGGTCGGCGGGAGGCGGTGCGGGCGGCGCAGGCCGCAACGACGGCAGAGGCCACGGCAACCGCCGGTGTAGCGTCAAGTCGGGCCTGTCCCGAGGAATATGCAAAGACAGTAAAAACTGTTTTTGTGTGGTCCGCGGGTGGAGAGCGAGCCTCTTCCGATAGGAGCTCAGGGGGCCACGCGCAGCTTTCATTGGCAGAGGGGGGGGGCAAAAGGAGGCGGGGCCTCACGTCAGGGCCAAGAGAGGGCAAAGCCCTGGGACCAGGCGGTGCCGAAATCGAAGTGCAAGGAAAGGTACGCCTTGGACACGAAAAATGGTAAAAACATAGTCAGGGGACTTTTTTTTATTGTTCGACCATGTGGGAGCATGTTCTGGATATGTTTTATTCTTCGTCGGAAATCCCCCTGTAGGGGGACACGCCCGACGTAAGTGCAGCGCCGCGCCGCGCTGGCAGCCGAGGCCGCAAAGGGCGGACGAGGCAGGGAAGAGGCTCCGCTCCGCGCGCTGCCCATCCCCAGCTTCGAGCGGATCCCTATCCCTAAGGTTGACACGCCCAAAGGCGATGAGAATCTTAGGGATGCGCCCTGCAAACTAAGGGAACCCCCAAGATTGGCATCGTGACGAGGCGATGCCCAGCTTGGGGACGGGGATGTGCTCCAGGCTGGTAAGTCCACGGCTGCGCGCGAGCCATCGCCCTCTCGCGAGCGGCACGCCGGGCCTCACAGAGCCGCGTGCGCGCGCGCGAGAAAAAAAAGGGGCAGCGCGGCTGCGGCTGCGGCTCGGGCCCGTAGGAGGAGGAGGGAGAGGGGAGGGAGTGAGCAAATGACGTACAGCCATCTCGCACACGCATGACACATTACAGCGCCACCCGTGACCTTCGCGAGAAAAAAAGGGGTGGCAGGCACGGCTGCGGCTGCGGCCCGGGCCTGCAGGGGGAGGAGGGAGGGAGGAGGAAGGGAGCACAAGGCTCAGTGGGCCCCTGAAACGGCAGGGCCGTTTTTTCACCGTTTCCAAAAAAGTATCCCTTGAAAACGGAAACGGCAAAAAAACGGCGACCGGAGACGGCAAAAGAACGGCTCCAGGATTGGAGCTGGAGCTGGAACCGGTCAAGAAACGGCGACGGAACGGGCAAAACATCGGCGTCGGAACCGGCATAAAAACGGCAAAACGGAAGCGGTAAAAAAACGGCCCTGTCGTTTCCAGGGCCCGCTACGGCACAAGACATACAGCCATCTATCACACGCAGGACAGATCACAGCGCCACCCCTGACCTCTGTGAGAGCCGCGGGCGCCCGGTCGTGGCAGTGAAAGTCCAGGAGCCTGCGGAGCATGAAGATGCCGCAGGCGAGTCCCTCCAGCGTGTAGCGGTGCACGATGTCCGCTCCCTCCAAAGGGCACCTCCAAGAACATAAAGCAGACTAGAACACGCGCAACCGTGATGGAGTGACCAAACCGATGAGTACATTGGTTGTCGAAGCAGGCCGCTGTATTATCCCAATAGCGCCGCCTTCTGAGTCTTGCACAGCACAAGTGCATACACCTTTCGCCTCCCAGCAACTCTACGATTGATGTACGTCCACGGGGTGATCAGTCAGTGCCAGGGCTATGCCTCTAATGGCTCTTCCAGATCATGTGCAGGACACACCAGACGCTCAAGCGGCCATGCATGACACCCTGATCACAGAAGACCTTAAAACAGCCTTCTGGAGTTAAGCTGGGACCACGATGCGGAGGTCACGATGGAGGGCCAGGAAGGGTTGACTGGGACAGAAATTAGGGTAGCGCTGGCGATGTAGATCTGTGGGTATAGGGATGGGGATATTGGGGTTGGACTTGGGATCGGGATTGAGACAGGGACATGTGGTAAGGATATAAGGTAAGGGTGCGTATCAACTGCGATGTTGATGTGGATATGGATACGGGCAGAGATATCAGGACACACGCAGAGGCATCCGGACGGGTATCGGGGTAGGGATAAGGATGCGGATGGGTGAAAACAGGGGGAGGAGGAGGAGGAGGAGGAGGAGGAGGAGGAGGAGGAGGAGGAGAAAGGGGAGGAGAAAGGGGAGGAGGAGGGGAGGCAGCTGGAGACCATGGAAGACCGCGCGAGACAACGCCGCCCGACGGATTCCGAAGCCTGCCCCGCGCACGTGCGGACAAGTGGTTCGGGGAGCCCTGCAGGAGACCGCACGAGAGACCGCTCCTCCTCCCCCTCCTCCCTCCTCCTCCATCCTCTCCTCCTCCTCCCTCCTCCTCCCTCCTCCCTCCTCCCTCCTTCCTCCTCCCTCCTCCCTCACCATACAGAAACTGTAATGCCACGCGGGAGATCACGCGGGCGAGCATGCGGCAGCCTTAACGGAAGACCCGGGGAGACCACCTGGGAGGCCATGCGGAAGGTCATGCGGGAGTGCATATTGCAGGCTCTACCAGAGAGCATTGAGGACACTAGACACCATGCGGGAGACCAAACGGAAGACCACGCCCCACAGTTTTTGGATCCGGCAGAGCATTCACATGCGGGAGGCCCAACGGAACACCATACGGAGGAACATGTTCCACCGATTGCGGGTCCAGCATATCATCCACTGGCTTCTCAGAAGCATCAGTCAGAACATTTACAAACGAGTTGTTGAGGGGAAAAGTGCAATACGGAGACCGCCGAAAGATTCAATCCAATGCTGACAATGTCGATCACGCTGAGAGCGGAGATTGCACAACATTGCACAACCCCGTGTGGCCCAAGGATTACCAAAAATATAACATCTAATTAAACACACAGACTTCACTGGGAAAGTTGAGTGCCTGCTCGCTGCACTGTAAGGGTTCCCTGCCTCGTCGCCGAGGTCAGCTGCCCGACGATGCCGACGCCACACTGACCCAAGCAAGGGTGCGCCAGTCCCTCGAAGATCTGGATGTGAGATTGGAAGCCCTCCCCCCCCAGCGCTTTCCCGCCGCAGCCGGCAGCTCTGAGAGGACCGGCTTCTTCTCTCCCCGTCGCCCGGGGCTCCTCCTCCTTCGTGCATTGCGGCCCGAAGTTGCGTACAGCGTGTCCTCTGTTGCCTGTCCGCCAGAACAGTCGCCTTCTGCCCAGCCGCCGACGCAAAAAGTGAGATTGGAAGCGGGGCACCCCGTCTCGGAAAGCGCGCCTTGTCACCCACCCACGCGGCCGCCTCGACGTCCCCGCAGGGCGCGGCTCCAAGGATCCCGGGTTGAGCCAGAACGTTGCGGAGAGTCTTTTGCGCAGGTGTTTGGGCGAAGTCGGGCATGACCCTCTACAGGAGGAATGTACAAACAGTTAAGAATAGTCTCGGGGCGAATGTTCGTGTTCTCTTGACTGCTTTTCATTTTTTGGGCTGCTTGTTCTTTTCAGAACATTTGGCCTGTAGGAGGACATGCCCGACCCAATGCTTGAGAGAAAGGGGAGGTTGACCCAGCTTCGCGATGATCGGGGCCAGAGATCGGGGAGCCGCGCTTGCCACCTGTGACCCCCTGGGCTCAAGTCTCGCGCGGCGCCTCCGAGGATCACATCGATCCGGGCGCCTTGGACAAGAGGGGCCTGGCGGACCTGGAGGACCCCCACCTGTCTTCGTTGTAGGAAAGTCACAACGGACGGCTCTTGGCTATTTTCGGCGTCCACAGGCCGTCTCCAGGCCCAGGAACCTTCAAAAGCGCAGTCGGGATGCAAGGACGGTCCCGGGGAAAGGGGAATGGGTACTAACCGTGACAGAGCCATGAGTTCGTGGCCTAGCGCAGGTCCACGCGCTTGGGACATATCCCTAAATACATGGGCGGCTTTGTTTGATCCCTATCCCTACATGTTTCTGCCCGTCCGAACTCAGGTCCCCTCCCAAAGGATCAGGGGTACTTTCATTGCTTATCAGCTATGTGAAAATCTCACAACGTCGGAGATCTAGGGAGCGAGGGGCCCATGCCTCTGGCAGATTTTTTGTTTCAGCCGCGACGCTATCCCACTGATCTCAGGCTCAGGGGGCTACGTCTGGGCCATGCTCAGGAGCGAAAGAAGTACGTACAGTACACGTTGGCCTAGAGAGTACGCATTGCGCGAACGTTCGTATCACGCGGCCGGTCTCGCGGAGTAGGGGGCCGTGTTCATGTATGTGGTTGGGCGTGTACGTCCTTCTTGCGTTCCCTACATCTGGGGGGCATCCAAGGCGGGCCGAATCCGGGATGGAACCGTTCTTCTTGAGGAGCGGTCAAGAGATCTAGGGCCCCGAGTCAAAATTTGAGGGATCCACGAAGTGGGTCAGGAGTTCAATGTAAACCACGTTCTGGCGCGTATGCACAGTCGAAGCCGACAGTGAGGATGGGTAACCTTCCCATGGGTACCCGTGCATCCGTGCCTCTTGGCTCCCTCGAGGGCCCGCCGCGCTCGAAACGGTTGCAGTACGGGCATCCAAAGGGGCTTGCATCCTCACCGCGCGTCCTCACTATCAGTGTGGACTGTAGTGCACGATGGTGTCCGACACCTCGGTGTTCATGTCCTCGGGTGTCAAGGGGCAGGGACGGTCGCCTCCACTTAGCATCGCTGCGAAATGGAGGCGTCCAGATGGTAACACCTCCTTGAGGATGTTAGCAGTGTTTGGCGCCACAGGGCTTTCTATTTGCCCCAGGACCATCAAATACATTTCATGATGAAGAACTGGTCCAGGATTCCAGGACCTGGTCCCCCTCAGGATCCGCTTGCTTCTCATACCAAGTCCGATTACGTTTGCTATTGACTCTTGCCTTGTTTGCGTCTCGCCGCCAAGATCGGCTTGGGAGGGAGGTGAACTCTCACCCAATCATACATTCTGGCTCAGCTGTGGGCGCTCGCTCGTCTACGACCGCGGGTCAGCCACATCCTGGCGATAACTGCTCTCCTCTACTTTGTCTCATGCTCCTCGGGTCAGGCGAAGCTCAGGCAGCATCCCTCCCTCCACGCCACCCTACCCCACTACCCCCTCCCCCATGTCGCCATGATCACCCTCCTTTCCCTGCTCGTCATCCACTTCTTCCTCCCCGTTATCACCCATCCCCGCCGTGATCCTTTCTTCCCTCTGGTCTTATCCTCACGTATCTCCACTTAAGCATCCATTGTATCCTGCGCTTCTGTCCCGCCTCCACAGGAGGAGATCGAGAGACACACCACTCTGATGTACCGGCCGCCAGAGATGGTTAATTTCTTCAAGCAGTTTGCGATCTCTACGCAGGCTTGCCTCCTAGATGCAATGGAGGTGGGGGAGGAGGAGGGGCAGGGATAAGGAAAGAGAGAGAGGCGTGAGGGGGAGGATGAGGGAGCAGGAAGAGGAGGAGAGGGAGCAGGGGGCAGGGAGGAGAAGCGTGGAGGAGGAGAACAGAAGAGCATAGAGGGAAGGAGAGCTTGGGAGGGAAGCCGTGAAGACGATGGTTATGAGGAAGAGGAGGGTTGCGGAGGGAAGAGGGGCGGAGGTGGCGATATGGGAGAAGGAGGATCGATGAGGTAAGGAGGATACGCAGGAGCAGGCTTGGGGTGCAAACCGTGGGAGAGGAGGATAGCAGGAAGGTTAGGGGGAGGAGAGATTGATGAGACGGGGAGGGCTGAGAACGAGGATGACGATGGGAGCAGCAGGAGGAGCAGGTCGAGGAACTAATACATAGGAGGAGGGGGAGAAGGCATGATGAGGTTGCAGGGGTGATGAGGGGGCAGGCGAAGTGCGAGAACGAACGGGGACGTGGATTGATACAATCTTACCTACAGTTAGGAGGATATGATGTTGATGAGGCGGAGGCGGGGGAGGAGGGGGACCACAATGATGATGCTGATGACGAGGAGGAGAAGGAGGACGGAGGCAGGAAGGGAGAAAGCAAGATGACGACGTTGTCGATGATGATGGGCTGCTGATGATGATGCTGCTGAAGATGATGAATGTATAAGGCTCGCTAGCGTGGACTTAACGCATTGAGCTATCGCACGCTGGTTGCGCAACATGATACAAGTGTATATATATATATGAACACACAGATATGTAATACACATATACACATATATACATATATATATATATTGTAAGTACGTACTGGTGCAAGCCATACGCGGTGCTACCAACGTAGTGCAACACGCACGCATGCACACCCACACACACACACGCACAAACACATGGCAACATCATGGCAACCGCAGGGCCATAGCATGGCGGTTGTTTGGTACTCGCGTGGCAATAGCATGGCAATTGCATGGCAGCAGGAGGGCAATAGCATGGCAATTGCATGGCAACGGCATGGCAACTGCATGCCCACATCATGGCAAGGGCATGGCATCGGAAAGGCAAGAGCATTGCAACAGCATGGCAGCAGCACGGCACCAGCATGGCAACATCATGGCACCATCATGCCACCAGCATGGCAACAGCATGGCAACAGCACGGGCATAGCTTGGCAACGGAGTAACAATTGCATGGAAGCAGCATGGCAGACGCCGTGGATTCAGCACGACAACAGCATGGCCACAGCATTGCCACATAATGGGACCAGCATTTCAACGGCATGGCAACAGCTTGGCAACAGCATGGCCACATCATGGCAACAGCATGGCAACCGCATGGCAACAGCACGCCAACGGCATGGCAACGGCATGGCAATGGCTTGGAACCGGCATGGCAACAGCATGGCAACAGCATGGCAGTAGCGCGGCAATAGCTCCGCCACAGCATGGCATCGGCATGGCAACGGCATGGCATTGGCATGGCAGCAGCCTGGCAATGGTTTGAAGACATCATTGTAGCGGCATGGCATTGGCATGGCAGTAGCACGGCAATCGCCCCGCAACAGCATGGCAACAGCATGGGAGTGGCATGGGACCAGCATGACAACGGCATGGCAACGGCATAGCATCAGCGTGCAGCAGCATGGCAACAGCATGGCAGCAACATGGCAACGGCATGGGGAACCGCATGGCAACAGCATGGGAACAGCACGGCTACGGCACGGCAACAGCATGGCAACAGCACGGCAACGGGATGGCAGCGGCTTGGCAACAGCATGGCATCGGCATGGCATCGACATGACAATAGCATTGCAACAGCATGGCAACGGCATGGCAGCGGCATTGCAACAGCATTGCAACAGCATGCCCACATCATGGCAAGAGCATGGCATCGGAATGGCAAGAGCATGGCAACAGCATGGCAATGGCATGGAAGCAGCATGGCAACATAACGGAGACAGCATGGCAACGGCATGGCATTGGCATGGCATTGGCATGTCAACCGCATGGCAACAGCATGGCAGCAACATGGCAACAGGATGGCACGATGGCACCAGTATGGGACCAGCATGGCAACAGCATGGCATCGGCATGGCAACAGCATGGTCATGGCATGGCAACGGCATGGCAACTCCGTTGCGACAGCGTGGCACCAGCATGGCTACAGCATGGCGAGGACGTGGTAACAGCACGGGCACAGCATGGCAACACCATGGCAACAACATGGCAACAGCATTGCAATTGCATGGCAACTGTGTGGCGACAGCATGGCAACAGCATGGCTAGTGCATGGCAACAGCATGACAAGCGCATGGCAACAGCATGGCAATTGCATGGCAACCGTATGGGAACAGCATGGGAACAGCATGGCAACAGCATGGCGACAGCAGCATGGTAGCAGCATGGAATGGCATGGCAGCAGCATGGCAGTAGCACGGCAATAGCCCCGCATCAGCATGGCAACAGCATGGGAGTGGCATGGGACCAGCAAGCCAACGGCATGGCAATGGCATAGCAACAGCGTGGCAGCAGCGTGGCAACAGCATGGCAACAGCATGGGGAACCGCATGGCAACAGCATGGCAACAGCACGGCTACGGCACGGCAACAGCATGGCAACAGCACGGCCAATGCATGGCAGCGGCATGGCAACAGCTTGGCAATGGCATGGCAGTGGCACGGCAACAACATTGCAAGAGCATGGCAACCGCATGGCAGCCGCATGGCAAAAGCATTGTGACAGGATGGCATCATCATGACACGAGCATAGCACCGGCATGAAAATAGCATGACAACGGCACGGGAATTGTATCCAACTGCATGGCAATTGCCATGTTGTTGCCGTGTTGCCATGCTATGACGTGGCAGCAGCATGGCACCTGCATGGTAACAGCATGGCAACTGCAGGGCAGCTGCGTGGAAATTGCATGGCAATGACATGGCAATAACACTGCACCTGCATGTCAATTCCCTCGCAGGTACCATGTCATAGCATGGTAACTGCATAACAATTGCATGGCAACTGCGTGGCAATAGCATGGCAACAGCATGCCAAGCGCATGACAAGCGCTTGGCAATAGCATGGTAATAACATGGCAACCGCATGGCAGTTGCCATGCAAAAGCCATGCCATAGCATGGCAACTCCATGGCAATGGCCATTGCAATAGTATGCCAACGGCACTGGGCACCTGCGCCGACAGAGCGCCTCAGGAACTTGCCCGAGAAGGCCCATAGCACCGTTCGCTCTAGGAGGGAGCCCTGGCAGCAGTTCTCATGGCAGCAGTCGCCATGACAGTTGTCATGGCAACAGTTGCCATGGCAGCTGCCATGGCACCTGTTGCGATTGCCAACGATGGCCACTGTTGCCATAGTTGCCGCGGCAGTTACCATGGCAACGGTTGCCATGGCAATTGCCACGGCAACAGTTGCCATGGCAGTTGCCATAACCCCTCCCTGTCGCACCCCTGGGCTAGTCGTTCAGGCGGTCGCGGCAATTCGTCTGAGGCTTCCTCACCGCTTATAGCCCTGAAGCTTGAAATTTCTAACAGCTACACGGGTGGAGGGTGGTCTCCAACATTGGATTTTCGTTTTGGCTTTCAAACGTTAAGAACACTTAAGCAGAATGAGGGCAGATCCTTTTCAAAATGGGAGTATCGCCTTGGTGCCAAGCACAGTGGTCTTCCAACTCCCCCATAGTTAGACGGATGGGGGGCGTTTAGTTTCAAAATGGGGCTCTTGCCTTGGCGTCGCGCACACTCGCACACTCGTGTCATGGCAATCGAATGGCAACAGCATGGCAATAGCATGGCAACTGCATGGCCGCTGCATGGCAATTGCATGGCAGCTGCATGGCAATTGCACGGCAACAGCATGGCAATGACAATGCAATGGCATGGTAATAACATGGCGACTGCATGGCAGTAGCATGGCAACTGCAGGGCAGTAGCATGGCAACTGCGTGGCAGCTGATTGGCAGCAGCATGGCAATCTCATGGCAACTGCACGGCAACTGCACGGCAACTGCACCGCAATTTTGTGGCAACAGCATGAACAAAATGCATGCCAATTGCACGGCAATATCATGGCGATCGCATGGCAACCGCTTGGCAAACGCATGGCAATGGTATGCCCCCCACCCCACACACCCTTTCGGATGCAACTCCTGGGAGGTCAAATTCTGATCTAGCCCTGGTCCGGAATCCGGCTTAATCGGGATTAATCCCGCTCATCCCGGCTTAATCCCACTTAATCCCGTTCAATCCGGCTTAATCTTGCATAGTCCGAGGCCCATTCCGGCGTAACAGCTCCCAAATGGGGCTTACTCCTTTTTTATTTTTTTCCGGCGAAAGCCTCCCAGTAGTTGCCTCCTAACACTCTTCACCCCCCCTTCACCACCCTACCCACCCACTTAGGGAGTCTCCAGGAGGGCCACCAAGGCTCCCAAGAGTGCCCCAACAGGGCCCCAAGAGGCGCCAGGGAAGCCCCAAGAGGCTCCCAAGAGGCTCCCAAGAGGCTCCCAAGCGGCCCCCCAAAGGCTCCAAGAGGCTCCCCCGGGCACAGAAGACGCTCCAAGAGGGCTCCCGGGACCGCCAAGAGGCCCCGAACACGCTCCAAGAGGCATCCAAGAGGCTCCCAAGAGACATCCCAAGAGACTCCGAGGGGCAGCCAAGCGGCCTCTTGCCCTTCTGCTCGCCCTCCTCGTCCTCATCCGCCTTTTTGTTGGTCCTTCTCTCTCCTCCCTCTGCCTCTTTCTTCCTCCCCCTCCTCCCCCATGTCCTCCAGTGTCTCCTCCGATTCATCCTCCATCTTCCCCCTGTTGGGGTACGATGGCTTCCCGAGCCCTTTGCTCTTCTGTGTGCCCCCTCCCCCCACTCATCTGACCAGGGCAACTCGTCTGGGTATCGTTGCTGGACGGGCTGGTGAGCATACTTTTGGGTACACAGGCGCACGAATCAGGTCGGACGCCG